GCAATAGCCGTCCTTAGAAATTAACACCCGTAGTTCTCATGCATCACCTCGACTGTCTTCACGCAAATTGATCGCACAGTCATTACCTAGACTGAAAGTTGCCCCAAATTCAGGAATCAGATTAAATGACCGTACATTCTATTCGGGGGAAGACACTAGTCAATGCATCATCTTTTCACTATACCTACCACCCAAGTCAAGGAAAAACCATCCGCACCCAACCATACATATACCCAACCCTTCACCTAACCATAAATATACCCAAATCCATCGCTTGTTCTTAAGGATGGCAGAATAGTTGAGAGGGATGCACACCCTGGCCTCTGCCATCGCCATCTAGAACCAGTGTTAGGGCCTAGCTGCACCACTCACCAAATGTGAAAACGCCAAAAAGTCAAAAACTATTGTGGGTGTATCTTTCCATGTTTCTCACAGAAGATCCCTTGTCCATTTTGCACAATTGGTGTGTAGAGAGCCCAGGCCTTTACCCAATAATAACAGACCATTAAAAACAAGGTCCTCATGTTGCTAGGCAATTCCGACTGTCTTTCAAAATCCGAAAGCCTTTTTTGAAGTTTCTTCGGAAAGTTTTCCTCTTCCCCGCACCCTCTGTGGATGGTGACCATGTTCCACAATCCTACACATAGGACTTCAGCTTTAAGCCCCCACAGACTGGGATCAAAGCGCCTCACTCCACTGCCCAACATTCTAAATGCATCTCGCGCTGGAAATGGTCCCAATACATTCATAATGTTTCATCAGTCCGAGTGCATGTAGTCCACACACAGTCTGGTTACGTGTAGAATGCTGAGTACTGCAGCGAGGCCCAAAGACACTTTCACACACAGTCTAGTTATGTGTAGAATGCTGAGTACTGCAGCGAGGCCCAAAGACACTTTCCCGTCCAAGGAAACATACTGTACTTCACTCCTGCACAAACTCTTAAGACATTCACCCAATGCATAGTTCCGGACGTTGGGATGGAGTAGGAGATTAGGAATCAGTTTCCCTGCAGGAAATGCATTCATCTTCTACTCTCCTTGGAAGTACCGATAAGGAGTAGAGAGTATGAATGCGCTCCGAAGTCTTGACCGCATTGCGGCAAACTGGGCGCTCTTGCTGTGCAAGAGAATTTTTGATGAGTCCAATCTAAGTAGAAGTGGATGCCTCCCAATACCCCTATAATAATAAACATAGGGATTAAAACACTTTCAAAGAACACATAAAAAAGTAGAAGATTACTCCACATTATTCCCTTCGCTCCTCTCCTCTCCTCTACTCAACTCCACTCGCCTTGACATTTCCTCTCCTCTTCTCTCCTCTCTTCTCTTCTCCTATGCCCTCCTCTCCTCTGCACTATGCTACTTATGGACAGAATGAGAGTAGGGACTGGGGATATGTGTAGGAATGAAAGCAATACCCGGAAAATAGCAAGGCAGACATTGGTAAGGTTCTTCGCAATTTGGTGCTTTTCATCTTCAAGTTCCTGCAAAACAAAACCACCCAATACATCGAACAATCGCCATGCGAAAGAGGGAGAAAAAAAAGAAAGAACCAAGGAGTCAAGGATAAACAGAAAACTTGAAAACCTGCGTGCGGCGTGCGCACACTCCTCCATTTCCACCACCAACAGATAGAGTAGGATTCTTAAGGCACGGTTTTCCATCATCTTGAAAACCTGTGTGTATACACTCCATTTCCACCACCAACCAATAGGGTAGGATTCTGAAGGCAAGGTTTTGGGAGCAGAGACACTAGTGTACCGCTGGCCATTCACTTGCAGGGAAAGGAAAACCAGCCAATCTGACCGGTTGGGGAGCACAATTCCACAACTTCTTTTTTTTCCCCTTTTCTCACAATGACACAACTCTCCAATGCCAATGAAAAACACAATTTCTTCCACAGATTTTGCACCCACACCCTTCCCCCACCAACCTCAACCCCCCCCCCCCCTCCCCGGCGAACAAAAAAAAAAAACTCATTTAAAAAATGAAAAGGAGGACATAAATCCAAATAAGTTGAAATAAACACATTACCTCCACTTTGCTCCGTAGCCGCTGCTCCTCATCAATATTCAACCCTGGTGGCTTTCCTTGAGCTGTCCTGTGCTTAGCCAGCTCTTCCAGTGCCCGCTGGAGGTACATTGATTCCTTCCGGGACTTCAACTCAAGGTCCTCTACTCTCGTCTTCAAAATTTGATTCTCTTCCTGAATTTAAAAAAAGAAAACAAGTGAACATCAGGAGTGTGTATTTCCTTTTGCCTGTTTCTTTTTTTGTTTGTTTGAATTATGAGCCTGCATTGTTTGTTTCCAAAATTTTCCACCACATTGCTTGTGGCGATGCGCCGAAAATAGTAAAATACCGAATTTTGCTTAGCGAGCTCTTCCAGGGCCCGCTGGAGGTACATTGATTCCTTCGGGGAGTTAACTCAAGGTCCTCTGTTCTAGTCTGCAAAGTTTGATTCTCTTAAAAAAAAAAGAAGACAAGTGAACATCAGGAGTGTGTATTTTCTTTTGCCTGTTATATTCTCGTCTGCAAAGTTTTTATTATGAGCCTGCATTGTTTGTTTCCAAAATTTTCCACCGCGTTGCTTGTGGCGATGCACCGAAAACACTGAATTTTCGGTCTTTCATTAACCATCTCTCCTTCAGTTTTGAACACCGTGTCACAGTTGCAGTGGTGAAGGCATCTGGCTGTTATGGCAAAGATCGCCAGTCCAGTTCCATGTCGCTGTGGATGGTCCCTGGCAATATAGTAATATACTAATCAGAACTCACTGCAAAGAACTAAAGACTTTTTAGCGTTTCGGAAAAAAAAGAAATACGCACAACAAAAGTCGTGGGTGGAGGGTGGGGCAGGGCAGGGAGAGGGGGAGGGAGGAGGGGATGGAAGCAGCAGAGTAGGTGATTACCCGTTTTTACATCAACCAAGAAAAAGAGAGGTAAATAGTTTGTCCTGCGGGACATCCGTTAAAATTGGAACAATGCAGAGAAGGTTAGCATGGCCCCAATGCAAGGACGACATGCATAACTTGAGAAACAGTCGCGGGGGAAAAAAAAAGAAGGTTAAAAAAGACATTATGCTGCGAAGGCGGCCAGCCCGGAAATGCAAGTGATTTTCATAGCATTGTTTATGTCAGAAATGTCCCAATAGCATCCACTGGCACATGCAACGAACATTAATCAGCATCACACGTAAGTTGGAGAAGCGAATACTTCACCTATAGTATTGCGTACACCTTTTTTTTAATCCAATCCCATTGTAATTCGAACTCAGGTTTGTATTTCAACAGGTCATCGGTGTACAACAAAACTGAGCAAGTCCGCCAGACTGTAGAAGCGAATGCTTCACCTAGCCTGCCACCCACCTTGATCTTGACATGATGATGGATCCGCTGGTGCAAGTTCTGCTGCCCAGACAGCTTCCGAACCTCTGCTTCTAGACTCGCTATCCGCTTCTGGAGGTTGGCCTCCTGGATCTATTTATCACAAAGACAAAATGCACACAACAATTCAGATGTCAAGAACAGTTGAAGTTCGAACTGGTCATAGTCAGCCATGCACCTGAACTATCAAACAGATCATGAGCTAGTGGCTAACCCCATTTCACAGAACAATTTCATACTGGGTTTCTTCATCGACACACTTACACACACACACAAAAAAAAAAAAAAAAAAAAAAAAAAACAGGTTTGCAAGCGGAGCCTAAGGATCGGAAGTCAAGGAAGGACGAAGAAGATTGAATCCTAGGCAGAGCACCTACACGGATTCCAGATATTGCCAACGGCACTGCAGGAAACCACAAAATTACGGCCCATAACGACCTTCGTCTGTTCTTTTTTTCTGTTACGATCCTGGCCATTTTTGAAGTATACATTCATCAGGAAGTACAATGCCGTCCAATTGCAAAAAGAAATGAACGAACTTGAGAGGAAAGAGAGGGAAAGAAGAAGAAGAAGAAGTAAGACAGAAGAAGACGATGATGTACTCCAGCATAGACCAAAGATAATGCTCTTCTTCTTCGCCAACCAATCTCCTCCTCCTCATCTCCTCCCCTCTTATTCAAACAAGAAATAACATTGATAATAATGTTGAATGGCTGAACCAGAATCAATGTCCGAATCCCTCTTCTACTGCAGGCACAACATGAGGTCCACCATAGCCATGGCCACCCTTCTTCTTCCTCTTCATGTAGGCCAAGGCTATGGCGGAGTACTGAGGGCTCTACCCTCCTGTCCAAAGGACAACCCAAAGCAGCTATGTCGCTGCTCTCCTGTCCCAAGGTAAACACAAGGCAGGTATGCCGCTGCCCATTCAGCAGCCATGCCTGACTCTATCCCGAGCTTCCTTGATGCGGCACTACCCCAACTGGGACCTTCCAGATGCAGCGCCTAACAAGGTGATGAAGATGGTGTCCACCATAGCCAGGTAAGTACCTCGCCACTCTCCTCCTTGGTCCTCTTCTCCCTCCTCCTCCTACCGGTAGAGCTCCACCATAGCCAAGGTGGAAGCTCCYGGGCTTCTTCCTCCCAGCAGCGCTGTAGTAGCCAGCGCTCCAGCAGCGTGTCGCCAAACTTGCACACTGAAGAATGAGGCTGGGCTCTTCGCTCAGCCTCTAGATAAAGCAGCCTACTTGGCTCCTGGGCGGTGACTTCCAGGCCGCTCGGCCTCCCGAGCAACCGATACCTCTTCCCTTTGGGAGGGAAACATCATTGCAGACTCTGATATTGCCCGTACAGGCCCTAGACTCAGCCAAGACCTAGCCTACCGCTACTGGGCCTCTAAAAATGCCAACTTTGTCCTCTTCTGCTCGGCCTCGAGTACCCAGCACATCCACTTCTACTGGGAGCGGTACTGGCCTACCTTCTACTTGAGTGTTTTTCCGCTGCTCTTAGTGCCGCAGGCCTCTGGCTCTGCTACTTGAGTGTTTTCCCCGCTGCAACCCTCAATATCATGGCCACAGGTAAGTATCGGCCCTACGGGCCTCCCAATAAAGCAAGTGCCCTTGCGGGTCACACACACACTCATGCCGACAAGCACTCAGACAGGCACGCAGGTCAACGAGCACACACACATACAGACTTAGAAAATTCAGCAGAATGAGGGAATCTCAGCAAGGCATCCATTCCATCGGCAGAACTTCAGAAATCAGCAGTGTTCTCAGTCTGTGTTATGGCGGGTCATTACACTACCCCCCCCTCAAGAGCGAGGTCCCTTCGAGCGAGTAACTCAATCAGTGTCCCTGCATAATGCATCATAATCGTAAATGGCAAAGAGAGATCTGGTATGTTTCGTAGGAGTGAGGGCAGCGGTGAATTTAGGTTGCTGTTTGGAGATAATCAGTCGTTCATATGCGTTGACGACTCACGGGGCACTCTGCGGCAAGTCTCTCTTAGCAATCCAGTAAAAATCATTCAATGGGTGATATAGAAAATGGACTTTGTATTGTCTGTTTCTCCCTTTTCCACTGTGCTCAACAGTCCTATCAATCTCGTGACCGCCATTGATTGCGCCATTGATTGCGTGAGGAATCATCGATTCTCGATACAGAAAAGTTTCGGCTGGTTCATACGGAAACAACTTCGACGCGTGAAAGACTGGGTACGTGCGCAGATGAGTAGGCACGTCGATCGTGTAAGGAGGACCAAATGAATCATCCCCTACTTGGTTCAGCCCATGGACCGTAATACTGAGGAAGAAGCTTCCGTGAGACACCTTCTTCTTCAGAACACTCAGACATTTTGACCCAGACATAGCTTCCCACTATGAAAGGTTCAGGCTGTGTTTTTTTGGTAGCATGCTTAATCATGGCACTGCGTTGCTTTTCCATAGCTGCAACAACAACTTTGAGCAAGCGATCAAACTTAGTGTTGTAGCCAGGCTGGCCAGGTGTTAGGCCAGGTGGCGGATCAGGAAACAAGTAGGATAGGGGATTGTGAATCTGCCACCCGAGGTGCAGCCGATTAGGTGTCATCTCGGTGGAGGAGTGTATGGAGTTGTTGTACAATCCCTGTACAATCGGCCATTCCTCATCCCAAGAGTTTTGATCAGGCACAATCAGAGCTCGGATAAGTTGGATCACAGTCTGCTTGATCTCCTTGGCCAGTCCATTGGCTTCGGGATGTTGACCAGACATCATCTTGAGTTTGATGTCATAGGTCTGGGAGGTGAAGTCCTTCCAATCTGCACTTGTGAACCTAGTGTCCCGGTCACTCACAAGAGTCTTCGAGGGCCCACACTGCAGAATATGCTTATTGTGAAATTCCTCGATCACAAGGTCGGTTGGGGTGTGAGGTGGCAATGGAATCAAATTCAAAAATTTTAAAAAACGTTCAACGATCACCATTACTTGCGAGTATCCGTTCCTGCTCTTCTTTCCCATGTTCATGAAGTCAATGGAAAGAGACTCACCCGGACCATCAGGGATAGGAAGAGGATGCCGCAGCCCATAGGGCTTTTGCCGAGAAGGTTTGCTGCGTTGATAAACTTCACACTCAGCCCCAAACTTTCGTGCCATTCCTTTCATCCCAGGCCATACAAACTTTTGCAATAGACTTCCGTATGTCTTCTCAAAACCGAAGTGTCCAATCCCGCCATGAGCCAAGTCCAAGAAGTGAGTACGGATAGGCTCATGGTTGGGTACACACAGTCGGTCGTACTTCCCGTAACGTCGGAAGAGTAAACCTTTACTCTCGTGGAAATCAGGCTGACTGCTAGGGTCAGCTTGAATCTGCTCAAGGATGGGATTGAGTTCCAGGTCCTTGGCAGTATGCTCAATGAGTTCTTCCTCCAAATTCTTACGGAGATCGTAGGAACCCACAAGGGAAGTCATGTACTCGGGATGGCGAGACAAAGCATTCGCAACGCGATTGTAACAACCTTTCTTGTGCTTAGGTTCAAAATCATACACATCAATCTCATGCAGCCACTGGGTCAATGTAGTTGATGGATTAATCTCTGTCTAGATCCATTTCAAAGTCTCGTGGTCTGAGAACACTTTGAATGGCGACCCAAGAGGTAATGTTTCCAATGATTAGTGCCTCTCTCAAGGCATAGAGTTCTCGCATGTAAGTGGAGGCATCTACCTTGTGACTGGGCATGCATCATTCAATTAATTGAATATTTGAAAATCTTAATTGAGTTGGCAACATAAATGATATCAAAATGGTATTAAAATGAAAAAAGAGAGATTTGTTGTATACTCAAGCGGACGTAGGCCGTCACCATCATCTTGTTGCAGCACTGCACCAATCCCATACAAGCTTGCATCCGTAGTTACTACGAATGAAAGTTTGGGATCTGCAATGAGAAGCACCGGATGACTCACCAAAGCCTCCTTCAATGCTTGGAAGGCGGTTGTGCATTCTCCATCCCACGTGTAAGACACATTTTTGCTTGTCAATTTGGACAGTGAACGGGCGATGAGAGAGAATTTGGGCACAAACTTACGGTCGTACGACGCAAAATCAAGAAAAGAACGCAGCTCACGGACATTTGTCGGTTGACGCCACTTGCGGATGACCTCAACTTTGGTTGCCTCGGGCTCTAGGCTTGCAGCAGACAACCGATGTCCAAGGTAGACGACGCTGTCCCTCCCAAACTCGGATTTCTTGAAGTTGAGATGGAGTTGCGCATCCTTGAGAATCTGCAACACTTCCTCAAGGTGTCTCATATGCTCCTCCATCGACTTGTTGAAGATTAGTATGTCATCAAAATAAACAACAACAAATTGATTGATTTGATTGTGGAACACCTTGTCCATGAGACTTTGGAAGGTGGTTGGTGCATTCGTGAGGCCGAAGGGCATGACGGTAAATTTGTACAGCCCATTGCGAGATTTGAATGCAGTTTTATGCTGGTTTGCGAGGTCGACTGCAATCTGGTGGTAACCAGACTTGAGATCGATCTTGCTGAAGACGCTGCATCCACCTACAACATCAAGCAGATCATCAATGCGCGACGAAGGGCATGCATTCTTTCTTGTTATTCTATCCAGTCCGCGGTAATCGATACACATTTGTAGCTTGCCTCCTTTCTTAGGGACAAACAAAACTGGTGCACCGAATTCAGATTCGCTTGGCTTGATCCAACCTTTTTCAAGCATGTCATCGATCTGCCTTCGCAACTCTTCCAATTCGCCTGAGCCCATTTGATAGACACAACCCTTTGGAGGAGTGTTGCCTTCAATCAACTCGATCTTGTGTCGGACCGGATGCACGGAAACTCCATGCGGTTCGACCAAAACTTCAGGAAATCGGTTAAGAAGGTTGCGGATCTCTGATAGGATCTCCGGAGGTGGATCATCAGATTCGGGTCCAAGCATACCGATTGCATAGCTGTAGCCAAAACAACAAGAGAGCATGCAACAAGAGAGCATGCAAGTCAATTTCATCAGATGGGGTCTCAAGAGAGGTTTGTTGAGTAGGATCAAAATCCGGTGAAGGATCTGCACTTACATGTTCAGCCTCTCCGCCTGTAG